CTTCCGAGATGCTCGAGGTCACCCGGGGCCGGTGCCTCATCCCACCCCATCACTGCCAGCCCCAGCCCCAGCATGGAGCAGCCGCATTTCTCACGCCCATTTCTGCTTGTCTCTAATCCCCATCACACCCTTCCTCTTCTGATGGAGAGCAGAGGCTCAAGCAGTAAAACAGACATCCCTCCCCGCCGGCCCCCGGTGTTTGGTTGACAGCTCAGTTGTTTTCTGTCACCGAGGATGCAATTTATTTTTTAATAGCATGTCTAATAAGCGATGCCCATTTGACTGACAGCCTGGTATTTATACATGCAGCTCCAGAACATGTGCGTGTTTTATAAATAGGCACTGAATCATTTCTGAAACGTTCAACAAAATCTATTCTTTTCCGAACAGAGGCACCAAACAAAAATATCTTAATGGATCCCTAATTAATTGCGTGCAGAGAGATTTTTCCTGAGAGCACAGAGGAGGAATGAGAAGGTTGCCATATAAATCTTAACTCTTATTATATAATTACTCTTGTAAACATCATGGGGGAATCTTGCTCTCTGGATTTAGCATCTCTCGGTCAGTAATTCCTGCACCGTAGTGCAAGTTTTGGTGGGGTGCACAGCTGGGCGCCGGACTCCTGCCAGTCGGCTGCCATCGAGGCAAATACCTTTCTTGGGGGGCAGAAATATCAGCGAGTTTGCAGGCAGCTGGGGTTTGCCACTGTTTGAAAAGACAAACCACAGAGCTGATTTTGGCTGCTGATAGCCAAAGCCAAGGGGTCACAAGTCGGGTCTTGAACTCGTGCTCAGGAAGGGCAGCCTGGGCACTGCTCAAAAAGCAGTGAAAAGGCTTTTTTTTAACAATTTGTTCCTATTTTTCTGGCTTTGTTTGCATAGGAGCTGCTGCGACAGGGCTGTGTTTTCCAGGAGCGGCATGGCTGGGAGAGGCCCGGCTGGTTCAGCCCCGGGGGAGCAGACCCTGTAAGCACGCGCGTTTCGGTGGTGGTCAGCCCGCAGGGTACCGGCCACGCCTGGCGCGTGTAGGATGCATCCTGCGAGTGCAGGGGGTGCGATAGACTGCAAGCAGTTGCATGTCCCCAAAATGGGTCCATAAAAGCTGTTGGGCTTTAATTCTCTATAACAGCAGTAAGAGTGAGATCCGTGTGTGTGTGTTGTGTCTGCCTGTCCCTCTGCAACAGGCAGCATCTGCCTGCAATGCTCCCAAACAACAGGCACTGATCTCACTTCTGTGTATGGAAGAGAGCAGCGGGCAGGGATGCCGGGGTGGGGACCCATCACTGCCGGCAGGGATGCCGGGGTGGGGACCAAACAACAGGCACTGATCTCGCTTCTGTGTATGGAAGAGAGCAGCGGGCAGGGATGCCGGGGTGGGGACCCATCACTGCGGGCAGGGATGCCGGGGTGGGGACCCATCACCACAACCAGGTCCTGCACAGACTCGCTCCTCTCCCGGCATGGGGTGAACATGACTGGGAGAAGCCCCTCGGCTTCAGCCTCATGCCGTCTTCCTCACTGCCCCCATCCTCTCGCTTCCCCCCTGGCCAGGTCCTGGATTACGACTACTACGGCGCGTACGGCCAGGAGCGCCACAGGGATTACACCTACAACCGGCTGCTGGGGGACGAGTACACCTTTGACTTCCCCCCCCACCATGATATCGTGAGTGGGGGGGGCTAAAACTGCTGGGCACATCTGGAGCCGGGGGGGTTGGAAGCAGCAGAGCCCCTGACACACCGCTGCTTTGGGTGGAGTTGGTGAGGCTCAGAGGGAGGGGAAGCAGCGAGCTTTGCCCAAAACTGGGGAAAACGTTCCAAAAAGATTAAGAGAAATGCATAGCCCATGCTCGAAAACCTCGGCAGAGAGGCCACAGGGATTTTACTGCTGCTTTCCCAAATGAGAGTTGAGGCCAGCTTGGGGGAAATACCCAATTTCATAAAATCTAACTGTTATTATTGATAATTGTCACTGTGTTGTGACATAAAGAATAGGATTGGGGACAGGAAGGTCTGTCAGACTCGCTCTGTTTAATAACTGGTTTTTCAGGAGTGTTTTGAAGCCTTACAGCCTTTAAAGGCACCAGGCGAGTGTCCTGGTATTGTTTCCCATTACAGAAATGGTTTTAACGTGTGTATCTCTTTGTGGAGTGAGAATATGGCTCAAATTCAGAGGTGTGTTTCCTTTAATTGTAGATCAAGAATGAATGCTTAACGTGCAGAAATGCCCTGGCGCTCTTCGACATGTCTTATTTTGGGAAATTCTACCTGGTTGGTCCTGAAGCAACCAAAGCAGCGAACTGGCTGTTTACTGCCGACGTGAGCAAAGCACCAGGTACCGGCTCAGCCCCCTGATTTCGGCTGCGCTGCCTCTGCTGAGCGCTGCCCTGGGAAAGCCCATCCTGCACCAAAACCCTCTGGCTCCAGCTGTGCCTCACAGCTGGAGATGTGATGAGTACCGGGGTAAATCAAGCACAGCCCTGGGCAGCCACGGTTTGCCCGGGGAGAAGCCGCCCCCTTCTCTGGGGCTGGGAGGCAGCTTACGGCATTTCCAAGGTGCAGCTTCAGCTCCTCACAGGGATCTCGGGGGGGAAAGCCCAGCTCCTGTCTTCCTCCTGGTGCTGGGACATCCCCTCAGGGCATACCCAGGCAGTGGCAGCTGAGGTAGGGTTGAGGGCTAATTTTCCTGGTACCGTCCTCTCTCTGCCGGGGCTGGGGCTGTATGCTGGGGCTGGCTGATGGGCAGCGGTGCCCGTCTCCTTCCCCCAGGCTCGACCGTGTACACCTGCATGTTGAACAAGCGGGGCGGCGTGGAGAGCGACCTGACTGTCAGCCGGATCAGCCCCGGGGACCCGGCCTCCCCCCTGGCCCCCACCTTCGAAGGTAAAAGCCCTGAGCACGGCGATGCTGGAGGCGGGCGCGTTTCTGCAGCTGCCGTGGGGCTGGGGCGGATCGCTGGCTGGGTTTACCCTCCCGCAGTTCGGCTCCCACCCTCTCCCGCTGCCTTTTTCAGCTGCATCGATGCACGCAAAGACTTTTCCAGTCCCGAGCAGCCGTGGCAGCAGTTTCACCCGGAGTTCTGCCAGCATCTTCTCCATCCCTGCCACGCTTGGGGCTGCAGGCGCGGGGGTGATTGCATTTACCTAATGGCAGCCACCTGGCTTTTTCCACCTCCACCCCTCCGTCCCTGTAACTCGATTATCCCCCTTGTCCCCAGGGGCCTGCACTGCTCATCCACCTTATTGGGTTTGTCCAGCCCCGGCTGGCGGCTCTGACCTTTCCCCAAGTCCTTATCAGCTGCAGTAAAGAGGAATTGAATGGAAGCAGAGCAGTCAGCCCAGAGGGCAGAGATGGCATTAGGCAGCAGCAGCAGCAGCAGCACAGGAGGGCACTGAGCTGGTCTCGGGCAGCGCTGCCCAGCGCCCAAGGGAGGTTTGCGCTGGGATGCCCCGTCCCCACGCAGTGTCACCCTCGGGGTGGCTGCTCGGAAGGGACCAGCCCTGCAGCGGGGCGGTGGGTGTTGCAGGGGAGATCTTGTCTTTGCCCCGGCGCGGTCGGGTGCCGGTGAGCTCTTCCCTCCCCACGGGTGAATCCTGCAGCCCTCTCGTCTGGGGTGCTCGCCGGGGGCAGAAGGGTGACGGGAAGCGGATGGCAGAGCTGCAGGGTTTGTCGGGTGATGGAGGAGTTTAATCGCAGCGAAGTCTATTTTTCCAATTACGGTAGGTGGCTGCACTTATTATCGTTATGACAGACTATCAGAGAGCAATTTTGTAGAGGCAGGAAAGACAGAAGGAAGATTGATTATGTATTAATCAGCTCCCAAACCACATCCTTGGGGATTTTCCCACCCAGAATTACTGACAAGATGAAACTCCTCGTGTACGGTGCAGCCCCTGCACTGGTCACAGCCCGGTCACTGCAGCCTTCCCTCCTCCCACCTGTAGTTCCCGGCTCCCTCCGCACTTTGGCATCTGCTGTGTACTGGGACGAAAGAGCAGATGCTTTTGCTGTTGGTCTCAAGGCACAAAGAGTTTTTCCTCTTTCCATGATGCTCACGCACACACAGGCACCTCCAGGGCTCAGCCAGCTTTTTTTACCTTTTCTTCTTTCAGGTTTTAATGAGCCAAGTAAAAGGCAGCGTGGATGTTAGCAGAGCCCCAAAGCCCTCCCTTGCCCCAGCACTATTTAACCCTCCCCTTTTTTGGTGGTCCCCCCTGGGCTGTGCAAGCTGAAGAGGCTCAGGGCTGCAGCTCAGTCTCTGGAGAACAAAACCAGCCCTGAGCTGAGCTGGGCATCACCCTCAGCCAAACGCTCTCGAGCCTGAAAGGCTGCCGGGGGGTGTCTTCCAGGGGACGGCTACTACCTGGCTATCGGCGGGGCCGTGGCTCAGCACAACTGGTCGCACATCACCACCGTGCTGCAGGACATGAAGCTCCAGTGCAAACTCCTCGACTGCTCGGAGGAGCTGGGCATGATGAGCATCCAGGGACCCCTGAGGTGAGTGCAGGGAGAGCGTCACGGCCCCCTCCTTGCACCCCGATACCTGGCCCATGGGCAGATGGATGGAGGGATACAGGGAGGGAGGGAGGGATGGAGGGATGCCAGGTCCTGGTGTGAGTCCCACGGCACCAGGCAATGGTCTGGCTGGAGCAGTGCTCCATTTGCTGGGGAATTGACATTTCTTTCGAGGCTCTCACAGCATGGCGTATCACTCACATCAGCTCCCATTCAGAAGGAGACGTCTGTCTTGCCAACAAGACGAGAAAGCAAGTTTTAGCCGTAGCCTGAGCAGGCTGGCAAGCTACGTCCTTTCACCACGGCCGCTTTGCTGTTTCCCCACAGCCGCGTCGTCCTCCAAGAAGTGCTCGACACCGACCTCAGCAACGAAGCTTTCCCCTTCTCCACGCACAAACTTGCCACGGCTGCAGGATGCACGGTAGGATGGGGTGGCCCTCCAGCTCCCCGGGGATGTCTGTTCACTGGGGCGACCGTGCGCCAGCCTGCGCACCCGAGCATCCTCTGCTAGGGATCCCGTCTGCCTCCCCACTGCTGCAGTGGGCAGCTGGGAGGTTTTGTTGGGGTGTTTTGTAGAAAAAGGCCAAAAACTGGGATATTTTTCTCCCCGTTTGCTTGCAGGCTGCTCTCCCAGCCTGCCCGACAGTGTTGTAGCCTGGACTGAGCTTGGGCAAAGGACGTGGTCACTTGTGGCTTTGCAGCAATGTTGGAGGAACAAGAGACGCCTTCCATAGATTAGGGGTGAACACTGGTGATAAAGAGATCCCCTCCTTTTCCCCCTACTCATAAAAAAAATAGAGACTATTTAGTGTAAAGCGTGTTAAGTACCGGCAGAAAGGGCTAGGCAGCCTGCGGAGTCGGTGTATTTGATCACAGGAGAAGTCTGACAACCTTAAGCTTTCTGTACAAGTGCAGATCATCCGGCATTTGCCCAGACTTCAGGACTCACGTCAGCGGTTATGCAAGAAAAGCGCAGAAATGGTAATGCTCCGCACTGACGCCTCGGGCTAAACCCCTTGGTGTCAGAGCAAGGGGACGAGAAGCCCTTTGGGGTGATGGTGGAAACCAGCACCGCTGCCCGGCTTGGGTGCCTGGTGTGGAGCCATGGGTGGGGGGGTGCTGGCTGTTTTGCAGATGGAGGTGAGGTCGTTTTGCCTGCAGAGCACGGGGCAGGCACATGCATGCTGTCCTGAGTGCGACAGTGCTCAGCAAGCCACGGGAGATGTGCCATGCCCAGCAGCCCGGAGCCTCTGCCGGGACCCGCAGCGATGGGTTTAACACATTGCGTGGCATCGCTTGGAGGTGTCGAGGGAGGAAGGCTCAGCCTAAAGCAGTTTGGTGTCCTTTGCTGCGTTGCAAAGAGGCAGATCAGTCCCTGGGGTTTGCTGTGAGGTTTCTCAGCGCTGCCTGCTGGGTTGGACACCTCCGGCTCGCCTGGTGCAGGGCAGTGAGAAAAGCTCCTTAAACCTCTCCCCGGCTTTGTCCAGCGGAGATCAACGTGGTCTGAAGTTATCCCTGGGGAAAGGGGGTGGTGGCAGTTTTTTTGGGGGTTTTGTCATGTGTGAAGCTGCTGGTTTAACCTGCTTGAAACACCCTAAAGTGAAGAGTTGGTGACCACAAAGTGTCGTTTTGCCAAAAGAGAAACGTTCTGGGAAAACCTGCTGCTGGCAAATTTCGGTATTGGGGAAAATCATTTGCAAGGTTTACCCAAGAAGCTCTGCCTCAGTTTCTTATTGATGTTTACCCCATATGAAATATTCCTTCCATTTCAAACCCAGCCCTTTGGGAGAGGGGGTAGAGGCTGTACCCCCCATGCTTTCCATGGGAAATCTGGGCAGGCAGTGGTCCCAGGACATCGCTCTCCTGCCCGGAGGAGCCAGCGTTTGCTCTGGCTCTGGGGCCGGTGTCTGATGGGAGATGGGAGGGGGTGAAGGTGCAGCGGGAAATCTTATAAAAGGCAGCAGGAAAACAGGGAGTTGGAGGCAGACTGGATATTAGTGAAATTGGGTTAAGCCGCACGTGGACACTTTTCATTTGGAATTAAAGTGGCTTTAATTCGAATGCAGCTGGCTGCTGAAGGGATTGCTGCTAAATCAAATTAAGACTACTTGATTCGTGAGCAAGAGCCTAGCCAAGGGTTAGGGCAGTTTAAGTAAGCCACAGATTTTGCCCAACTTGGATTAATCCTCCAAACCATCAATATCAGTGTGCCCTGTGCTCCGGGTGCCGAAAACGCACAGTGTGTCCAGTGTCCCTTGGGGGGGCACAGTGGCACGGGGGACCCGAGGGCCAATCCACTGTTGCAGGCTGTCCAACACGGTGTATTTTCATCTCCACCGGTGAGTTATAACCCTCCCCACGTCCTCCCCTGTCACGCCTGTGGCAAGCTGATAACGTCTCGTAATAATCTACTTATCCCCTGGGAAAGGTGTGTAAATGTTCCCATCTTCAAGAGCAGGACTAGTTTATTTACATTTCGCTTCAAGTTTATAAAAAGTAATCTGGTCCTGCGAGGAAGAAATAGGTGGTAGAAATTTTGTGGCTACTTTTGGATGTAAATGCCCTGACTGTAGGAAAAATCTTGGGTGTGCGAGGGCTCAGGGCTGGGGGGGGGGCACTCCCTGCCTGCTGCTGGGGACACCTTTCGGGAGATCTCCTTCAGGTCCTCGCTGCACGATGAGATGGGGGGGCTCCATCCCACGCCGAAATTAGAGTAGGAGGGTTTCTCAGGACAGCAGGCTGAAGCCTTCACTGATATTATCGTCTTCCAGGGGGATTAAACTGAACCCAACATCTTTAAAAAGTTATCGCTGAGATTTTCGTGCATTAACTCAGTAGTTGAACAAAATCAGCTGGAGTGAAAGGAGAGTTCCAGCAGAGTTAATGACTCTGGAAATTACCGATTGGTTTGTGAGTTTATATATAGCATCTCTCATTGTATTGAACAGCAGAGAAAGGTCCCCCTTTGAATTTCACTGCTGGATGCAGGGTAAAGTTCAGGCTTTCATTTTCTAGCATACTTAAAATGCTTTTGAATTGCTGTTGAAAGACCCAGGAATTGATGCTATTTCATAGCTCCAGCTGAAATCTAACAGAAAAACCTGATCCTAGGGGAATTTAGCAGAAAGCTGGCTGGAGCAGCTGAGCCCAGCCCCTGACATCCCCCTTGGCTTCCGTGGTGGGGTGCCCACCCCTGCCTGGGGTACGCACACGTGGGTGCAACCCCCAACCCCTGCCTGTGCAAAGCTGATGACTGGCACCCCGTTTTTCCTGAGGGTACTTGTTTTCTATGGTGCACTGCTCTGCCTCACCGCTCTTGATGGGATTTTCGCTCCCCCAGAGCAGTGGTGGTTTATCGGGAAGTTTCTCCCAGGAGTAACTTGCTCCTGAAAGTAGAGTGCACTTTAGCTGTGGCGCTGACTGCTGGGTCTCAGGCAGGGCTAATGAGCCGGGAAGTTGCCTGTCAAGCCCCAGAGCATCTCCTGCCGCGATGAGGATGGTAGCTGGCTGCGGCGGCTTGATCTCAGGCTGTTCCCTAATTAGGTGACACCTTTGTGTGGAGTGAAAAATCTCCCTCCCAAGGTGAGGTGTGCATTTGCAATTGATGTGCATCCGAAGGGATGAAACAGAGGGGGTTTGTGGGGGAGGAAGCGGAGAAATCCGAAGGGATGAAGCAGAAAGAAATGCAGCTCAGACTCAAGGGGTATCTCCAGGGAAGGTGCCCAAGCCGGGGTGGCTGCAACCGGCCTGGAAAGCTTTGGGAATGCAGACTGGCTCAGTGGGGACACCGGGAGGATGCAGGCAAGCCTGCCCGGGCAAGAAGCAGGAGGGACACGGGCAGGGCATCCCAGTATGGCTGGGAGGTCTGTGCCCCCAGGAGGGCAGGCAGGGAAGGAGATCTCCAGGGACCAGGCTTCCCCTGAGAAGCACCGAGTCCCCTGTGCTGATCTGCTCAGTCCTCTTTGGGGCTTCGTGCATTCAGTGTTGAGCTGATTTGGCACCAGAGAGTAAAGCTTTGGGGCACAACCTCCGCTGGGGAAACCTGAGCATCCCCCTGGGGTGAGCGGGGCACGGGTTGGGACGCGGGGCTCAGTCCCTGCCCGACATTGTAGAGACTTTGGGTTCCTCTGCCGTGGGAGCACCATCCTGAGTGGGGGACGTCCCCAGGGGACAGCAGCCGCGAAGTGCCCCAAAGCAGGACAGCCCTGCTGGGAACCAGCTTCCCCATCTGACGGGCTGATTTGGGGAGACTCAGGGCTGGGGGTGCCTGTGGGCTTTCTTCTGGCGTTGATGGATCAGCAGAGGGAGACAAAAGCCCGGCTGGAGCCGGAGCATCACGTCTAACCCCAGCCCAGCTGGTGCGACAGCCCTGGGATGGGTGGCTGGAGGATGCTGAACGCAGCCCCCTCCATCCCTCCTGACAATAGCTGGGTGTCAGGTGCCAAGCTTAGGCTGTCCAGAGATGAGAAATTCAGTCCAACTCTGACTTCGTGCACTTTGCACAAAGAAATGCCTTCCACCAAAGCAGGGCATTCGCACAACGTTCCCAGCTGAGCCGACTTTCCCCCCACCGTGGTGACGGGCGGCTCCGTGGCCTCTCCCGCACGGCACAGCTCCGTCCCCAGGGGTGTTTGGCCTCTTGCATTTTGCAGGTCCGTGCCATGAGGTTGTCGTTCGTCGGTGAGATGGGCTGGGAGCTGCACGTGCCCAAGGCGGATTGCGTGAAGGTTTACCAGGCGGTGATGCAGGCGGGTGCCCGGCACGGCATTACCAACGCTGGCTACAGAGCCATCGACAGCCTCAGCATCGAGAAAGGTTTCTTGCTTTCCTTACAGCAGCGCTCGTTGCTTTGCCTCCGTCCGGGGGACCAGGGCAAAGTAGTTTTTCCCAGCTTTGTGGGTGGGTTAGTGTGGCTGGAGGTCTGGCAGCTCCTGCCAGAGGTGCTACCTGCCCCATCACTCCTTGCCGAGACTTCCCCAGTACGGGCTCCTCTCGAGGGTGCTTTGTCCAGGGTCAAGTGAATAGAGGGCATCAGGGGTGTCCAAGAGGCAGGGGTGACATCGTGGTCCCCTGATGCTGCTCACCCTGGGCTTGCTGCCCTGGCAGGGAGAGGCCGGGTGACCCATGCTTGCTCTCTGCAGGGTACAGGCACTGGCACGCAGACCTGCGCCCTGACGATACCCCGCTAGAAGCAGGCTTAGCCTTCACCTGCAAGCTCAAGTCCGGCATCCCCTTCCTGGGCCGGGAGGCTGTGGAGGTTCAGAAAGCCAAGGGCATCTTCCGCCGCCTCGTCTGCTTCACCACCGAGGAGTGAGTACCACTGCTGGGCTCTGCTCAACGCCAGGCAGCACCCAATGCCAGTGGCCACCCCGGGACGAGCACCTTCAGCCATCCCCACCCACCCCTGCGCCCAGGCACGCACATGGAGCTCAGTTGCAAGCCAGCTCATCTGTTTTCCATGCTCTAATTCCATCTCTAATTTAAATCCCACTGCAAATTCCCTGCTGGATGTTTAATGGGAGCTGGAAATGGTGTGACAAGGAGTGGGTTTATCTTGTTTCACCCGGAACAGCGGGAGGTTTTGCAAATTGGGCTGGGGGGGCTTTGCCAGCGCCTGGGATCGGCGTGGGGAGGTTAATGAACCTGTGGGCAGCAGGAGCCCTGGCACGTGGGCTGGCCCGGGGCAGAGCTGGGGTCCGGTCTCCCCAAGCCCCTCTCCCTCGTGGGGTCCCGGCATGGGGCTTTGCTGACAGCAGCTCTGCCTTCGCCTCGCAGGAAGGTGCCGATGTTTGGCCTGGAGGCGGTCTGGCGGGACGGCAAGCCGTCGGGCAGACTTCGGATTTGCCATCGACAAAACCATCGCCTACGGCTACATCCGTGACCCCGCAGGGGGCCCGGTGAGTACAGACCCCCTGCCGATGGCTGCACCTCCTTCCCCGCAGCGGGGGCTTGCCGGGGGGGAGCGTAGCACTTGTTTGGTTTTGAAGCCATATGCACAAACCTGGTGCAAACCTGCTGTCGTCTGGGGAGCGAGATGGGGCAGCCCCCCTCCTGGGTCCCCCCAGTGAG